TTTCTTTTCTTTTGTTGGGTCACGCGCGCGACACGCGTGCGGCGTGTGCGGCTGGTGAGAGCAGGACCTGGTGTCCTTCGCTTGTTGCCTTGGCTGTTACTAAAATAACCTATGACATGATCTGCTTACGTTTAATGACAGACCCGTGTCATTAGGTTTTATACTAGGTTAAATAATTTGATATCTAACGTCACTACACTACCCTCGCACTTTCAATAGTTGCGAAACATAATCTATGGAGAGCAACGTATCGAAACATACATAAAAATAGATATATCCTACCGCTGCGGCATTGAAAATTATATGTTACACACAAAAAGAAACCTCAGGTTAGCAATACTGTTATGCGATGGAAGGGATAGAAGTGATGTAAATGAAAGGGGCTTTTTGGGAGGCGGGCCGGGGGGCAAAAAAAACGAACAAAATAAATGAAAAACTGGACGTCCTGATTTTGTTTGTTATCTCGGTATTATTTTTTTTTATTCGTATTCATCACATTTTTTCTTATTTTTTATTTTCTAACGATGTTGTCATCGACAATCGTCCATCCGGGATGCATTGCCTCGAACCAATCGAGCTGTTCGTAGTAATCGTCCCAATCGTCGCATTGCGAGTCGTCGTCGGCAATGTTAAAAATGGCCCAATTAGAAAATACCAATAGTGCATACATTTTCAATCACCTATCACCTATTTTTTTATTTTTTTTATTAAATAATTCAAGCAAGTTAGTAATATTGAGTTGAAAGATGTGCCTGCATATACAAAATACTAAATTTGTTATCTGTTATAAGTACATTAGCCTAGTATAAGTAGATACGACATGTCAATGACGTACAGTCTGCACTAAGCGGTGGCAAAACCTTAAATCGATGAAATCAATTTGGCTTCATTGTCGCTCGTTACATTACGTGTAAATGACACAATTTCCGTAGACCTGCGATGCCCATACCGCGCCATCGATATACACAATGCAATATAGAGTAACGAACGTTAGACACTGATGGGCACCACATATCATTTATTGTTTATATTTGGAGCAGATTTTTTAACGAGATGAACAAATAGCGATCATTTCCCGTAACCGATGTTACGGCGATGTTTGGGTTTGAATGTTAGATTCTTGCTCCATGATGTCAGGTCACTGAATATTGCATCGAAAACGGTGGCTACGTTTGTCGATGTCATCTCGACCGCGTCCACTAGCGAGCAGATGAGAGCGTACTGGGCCTCAAAGAATGCCTTCTGGTCGGGTGTAACAGTTGTCATACCACACTTCCAGCTTAGGCGCGCGATCGAGACACGATCCTCACATGGATCAAAAATTGGCGCGTCGATAAACGGTAATGTGCAGCTAGTCATCCCTACGCAAACAGTATCAGCGAACATCGAAAGGTCATTGCATGCAGAGGGGATCGGATCCTGCATGAGGGACATTGGCGGAAGTGGTGCCGTCGGTCTCCGGGTCGTAGCCGTACGTCACCGACACCTCTGAAATCGGCCCGGCGGTACACTGAATGATGAGCGGATCGTCGTCCTCACAGATTACACTCGTGCCGCCTTCTCCTGAAACGTACAGGGCGCGTTATATATAGTCTGATTGCAGTGCACAGTGATAACACATGCGTATACGATGCCATTATTATAGTGTTGGGTTATGATGTAAGAATTGCCTAAAATACTCTATCTAGATAGGATATCTATAATATATCTTTTACTCCCCTCTTTAGGATTATTTACTCTTGATATATATTATATATATATATATATATATATATATATTATATATATAGTATGTATTATATATATATATATTATAAACAACAAAATTCAAAAAATAGGTAAAGGGTGTTTCTTTTAATCAGCGAGCCTTTGAGACGTACATCTCTTCCTCAGGCTAACTGACTAATATTAGAATCGAACCGTAATTAAAACAAAAATACAATGCGTTATGTACAGTATAATTGAAATAGAATAATTCAAACAATGCGCGTTACCATATGAAGACAGATGACGAAAGATTAAGGATACGCCCCCCCCCCCATTGACATTCATACCGCCTGGTTTCAAACAGCCAACCCTCAGAATTAATTTCTGCTTAGTCATGTGTAGACTTGAGGTGTCAAATTGATGACGTGCGTGTTTGTGGCTACCAACTGACAACGTATTGTGCCACCTCCCGTCGGCGCATGACTAAGCATAAATTCCATTGTGATAAATATTCATGCCAGCACGCACACACGTAAGCACTTACGTACACACGCACATACGTAGGCCTACGCAGGCGCGCAAGCACATTTAAAAAAGCTATTTAGGAAAGTTTCAAATCACTTACCAAACAGAAGATGGTAGGTCTGGTCGTCATGGGTCGTCATTTTCATGATCGTATGCTGTCGCCCATCTATTCCCGTGATGACCTTATCGTGTATATCTGTGCCCTCTACACACTTGAGTCTGCAGAGTTGGAATGGTTGTTCGCCAACACACGCGGGCTCTTCTATAAAAAATACATGATATATATATAACATATATTCCGCTCAAGTATGATGATAATGATGCGTGGTGCTCTCAAGTGCATGAGCCTCTCTGAGTTTTCGACGCGCGTTAGATAGCGAGAATGTAGACCATGGAAAAAATAGACCAATTAGAGCGTTGCTAATAAACCAGTATAGGCGGGGCCTGGCGGTCGGTCAGGTCGCCATATCGTCAGGGCCGACTGACTTCGAACGCCATGGTGTGGAGGGGGGGGGGGGTGCGTGCCAAGCCGCATCTCCTACAGGTCTACTAATTTCGCATTTCGAAAGCAAGAAAACGACACGAAACCTGTGTCCGCGTACTATACAGGCGTGCGTGCGTACGTGTGTGTGTGTGTGTGTGCGTGCGCGCGTTGTATGGGATTGTGTACGCTCACGTGCTTGTGCGCGTGCACTCGTGTACATATATATATGTGCGTATGTTCGCCTGTTCACGTATAATTACGTGTGAACGTGCGTACGTGCGTATGTTCGGACGCTCATCGGTGTGTATGTAGGTCACTGAACTAGAACTAAACTATAGTATTCTAGTTCAGTGTTGTAGGTACGCATGTGCCAATGGCTGGAATAACAATGTCGGTTGCCTGAAAGGAAAAAATCGAACGTTATAACTTTTCGAACCTCTCCAGCGCTTATAGTGAGCCTACAGTTAGGATTAGCTGCATATTCCCATTGTTATAGCTTCCACGTTCTCGCCCTGTGACAAATTCTTTTACGCGACAAATGAGATTTCCTCTATGCTGTCTCTTTATGAGAAGAAAACTCTAGATTGCGCGCGACTAGCCCGATTAGAATGGGTGGGAAGCTACTTACGCTGTTAGTGGGCGGTGAGACCAGAGTTTGTAACAGCTCTCACGCTCTCATGTTATACGTTGTTGGGTACAACAGGTGTAGGATTCTGCGCTATATACTCACTCTCATTCGGTCGCATGAGGATTTTCGGTGGCTGTTTCTCTGCTTGTTAATTCGCAAAACTCGCTTTGTAGGGATGGTAACACCCACCCTAACTCTAGCTGTTCCTAACCCTAACTCTGTGGGTCCCACACACACACGCGCGCACGCACGCACACACACACACACACACGCACGCACACACACACGCACACACGCAC